TAAAATCTTCAGATCGCCTGGGAGCAGATTGACTGTTTACAAAAAAAAAAAAAGCCTGATCTGAGTCTATGCACACCACAGCACCATGGAGCAAGAAACCGTTGGTAGTAAGCAATAAACAAATACAGTGTGTGGCCCGGGTGCAGTCAAGAGCACCTAGGCAAAAAACCAAAACAACCCAACAACACTGGGCTTGCTTGCGGGGCGGGGAAAGAACACCAGTCTTTGTCTACATCAAGTGTGGTAAAGGGGAGCAAAAAATATATAATTATTAGGGAAAACAACCACCACAAATTCGATTTAAAAATAAAAATCACAGAGGAAGAGATTTCCCATACTATCCAAATGGATAAAAATGTTGCACAAAAAACATTTCCTCAGCCTGGCGCGGCCTCTTTAGTCTGTGTTCTCATCAAGCATGTCATCTACAAAGACAGTCTGGCAAAATACATACAATAAGAACATCAACAGTCTTACAAAGGCCCAAAGAGAAAAAAGCCAGGAAAAGACAAGCAATAAATAGAGGAACAGAACCAACAAAGAAAAAAAAAAGGGGGGAAAACACCCAAGCAAAAAACCACCAACAAACGAACAATTTAAAAAAAAAGAAAAAAGAAAAAAAAAGAGAACAACAATTTAAGATTTGAAACCCAATTCAAGAAGAAATATTTCTTTCGGTGATCATATAATGATATGGAAAAAAAAATTCAAACAAAAAGACTCCAGGGCAACATTCGGCGTTGAACCAGATATGCAGCTTTCTGTCCACAAGTTTTGTCAGTTTGTCACTGCACTACACAAAAAATACCTGCTCGACACATATAAGCTTCCAGATGGCTGGCAAACAAAAAAATATATCATTGAAATGTATCAGGTACCAATCAGCCCATCTTAGATCAGTCCTCAACGAAAAGACTCATTACCCACATAGACACAGTGCATGAATTAGATACACCAATATAATATAGATTCCTTTTAAAAATGTCCCATAAACGGATGTTGGAGTCATCCAAACACTTTTAGCTCAGAGACAATACTGGGCAGAACAACTTTCCATTTCCAATCCATACATTCCCTTTATCATGAAAAAAAAATATTTAAAAAATTCATAAGATCGTGTATTGATTGACATGTAACAGCAGCACATTTGTGCAACCATAATCTCATAAATGACTAGCTCTTTGCAAAAAACCCCCAAGAAACCCATGAAAGCCATCAACATCTGGAAGCAAACCGCAAGAAAGTATTACATGTGGAGGAAATGTAATCAAGATTGTTCCGACTCTGAGGAAGCGTACGTGAGGGGCAAAAGGGCTCCAACACGAACACCATGGATTAAAAAAAATAAATCAAAAAGCTTAAATGAATGTTTAAAACAAGGTGGGAATATCATGTCGGTCCCCACACAATATTCTAAACTATTGTGGAATTGAATCATCTCAAAACATGGCTTTGGAAAAAAACCCAACCAAACCTAGACCGTACTAGCTGAAGCAAAGGGACACTATGTATATAGAGAATTCGGTGAAAAGCTGAGAAACGGGGGTCTTATCAGTTATAAGCAGACACATAATATATATGTATCCTAGTGGCCGCCCTTCAACCACTTAAGACTGTAACAGTACGGATCACTTTGAATCCACTGAACAATGTGAAGCTTAAAGTGCGGCGTACCAGATTCAGATCTATAAATTCCCCAGCTACGTGGGGCATAACAACACGTCACTCTCACAGAGAGGAACGACTTCTTCCTTCCACGGTCAAACCTAGCAGCACGCTCTAATTTTCTACTTCAGAACTACTACTGGATGAGTCTCGTACACCAAAACATCAACTGAGGCAGCAGGGGAGAAACAATCCCACAAATGATAATGAGAAATTGCACCTTTACAAACAACTGGGGAGTTTTCATCATGGGAATTGGGTTTGTCGTAGTGGCGGTCAGATTTTTCTCTGAGCCAAGCGCAGCAGCAACAACACGCTGTCAGCTCGCACCACCGCTCCTTGTCAGCAGGAACAACAACAACAACAGATTTCCTTCCATGTCAGGGGGGAAAAGGAAGCGTACGCCTTCAGGCAACGTGGTCTAGCCAAGTCCGAGGTTTGCAATGATTGGCAGATGTGACCACAAAAGTAGTTCAGTTCAGGCGGGCACTACTGCGCGTTGCCTGTGACCACAAAACTTGGGGTCTTCCAATAAAAAAATGTGTCACAACACGGTGGAATCAGGTGCTCATCAATTTTGTGGCATTAGGAGTTTTTGGCATAATCTGAAAACCTGTAAATTTGCCTTGCTTTTAATCGTTGTTCTCCCCCC